CCATTTTGAGACCAAATTATTTTAGGGAAAATCGGTCTAGAGTCCCTCTCCCACTTTTCATAATGGAAGAGATCCACAAAATTATTTTTTGATGTCTAAAGTCCCTAAACATATATCAGAGAAATTTCAGTCCTTCCATCTGACCCGCGTTGACGACCACCTCCGTGAAAACGCATCCTTATCATCAACGCCTGGTTTGCAGCTTTCTGATCTCTTCGAAGAGGAGCTACTTGCAAAGCATCATCAAAACTAAACTGTCAACAGAATTAGAAAATCTCAATTTCACAAAACTCATACATGTCACAAGAGTTGTTTCAGTGATTTTTTTAGGGTTTGAACTACTACATGAAAGGGTTGTCAAATCTTGTTTCAATCAAGGATATGACGCCCATTCAATGCATCCTCAAAATAACAACACGAGTCCATTCTCATCTCCGTGCTCATGTCATTCTCCGGTGCCGGGTAATAATCTTCTCTCAGCTGCACATCTCTTAGATTCAGAATCCTTAGAAGGAACATCATGAAATGCTCGTGTGCAGTTCCATGGATAAACAGCTTCCTCAGTGTTTTGCATGGTATTTTTGGAATAGAGAAGATGGCCAATGATGCCATTTGATGGGTTCTCCTCCTCCTGGTAAGAGACTAGTCATGTTTGAGGTTTGATTACTCTGATTTTCTTCAACGAGAAATTATTCGGTGGATTAAGCAAGCTTCTGGATTTTCTCTGGGTTGAGAGAATTTCTCTGGAAATATGTTTGGAAATTTTCTCTAGGTTGTGAAGTCCAGAGAAATTCTCTAAGTTGAGAGAATTTCTCTGGAAATATGTTTGAAAATTTTCTTTAGGTTGTGGAGTTCAGAGAAATTCTCTAGGTGAGAGAATCTCTGAAAATAAAGGGCAATATGCTTGATTGACTTTGGGTTACCAGTTGATCGAGATGATGACAATGACTTGGCAAATGGTCATGATACTCTGTCATCATCAGCACCAGATCAACAATACAAGGTAGATGCTCACTCTGGTGTTGAACTTCTTCTTAATTTTTGTATGGTAAAATCCGAAATATGTTCCAACCAAGATGGTGAAAGCACCACCCAAAAATAGAAAGCAATTTCTCTTTGTCACAACAAAGGCTATGCAGTTGAGAAATGCAGCAGCAACAAGAATGAAATACACAATTCCCTGCAAAATTGGAATGAGAAATGAAACTTATTATAAATGTTTCAGACTTTTAGAAACAAATATGACAACTGAAATGTAGGAATGAATATACAGAACAAAAAATGATTCAGTGTCCCCAGTACTTAAAACTGAAAATTGGGCCAGAGAAATTCTGAGAATAATTAGACTTTTCAGAGAATTTTGGTCTGAAATTTCTCTGGACTAATTTTCTTTGGATTGAATTTTCTCTGGACCAATTTTCTCTAGACCAATTTTCTCTGGATTGATGTTGAGGGACCTTAGACATCATGAAAATATTTGATGTCCTTTATACTATAAAATCATAATATCAAGGACCTTAAAAAAAATACTCCATTATTTTATCCCTAAAACTTTATTTATTAGTGACATTTTCAAAATTTTGTCACTAAAAGCTTTATTTTTGACTTTTCGGAATAACCTTTTAGCAACTATTCTCGTGATGATAGAAATTGGTCCCTAAATGTCTTTTGTAACAAAATTTTCATTTTTAAAGACCAAAATATTTGGTCTCTAGAACTCTTATATGTTGTAATAGTATTTAATTTTTTTTATGTATATATAATTTATATATATATATATATATCATATTATACATAAATGCATATTTTGTGTATATAATAAAAAAAATTTATTTTTCTTTTGACCTCACTAATATTGAAATCCTGCTTCTGTCGCTAATAACAAGTTATACTTTATTTTAGTAGTTTGTAGCAGAATATTTGGTTTAATTTTTATTTATATAAATAAATATTTTTAACTTTTTTTTTTTAATTATTAACTTCCAATTTTAAAAAACCTGGGTCAAAATAGTTCAAAAGCTCTACTCAATCTCTCTCTGTTAAATGAGTAGGCCAATTTCTATTGATCTATTTATTTGTTTTATTGGATTGAAATGATCACACGCGTGGCGATGATATCAATATATTCAATTTCCCATTCACTCGGTAATGGTTTTGAGCAACCAAATATACCACGTGAATCACAACGCGGCATAGAACGCGTTACCACTTTGACCCGAGTTAATCGACACTCGGGGCCCACCTAAAAAATAGACCTAACTTGGGAAAAAATTAACCATTTCCAACATTGTTTTGTCCGTTTTCGTTTTGATAATCTGATCCATTAATATGTAAAACTCATTAATTATTATATATCTATAAAAAATTACGTTTATCGAATATCGATAGCTATTTGATTGGATCAATTTTTTGCCTACTTTTAATTTATTCACTGTCAATTTTTTTTATACGAAACTTAACGAGTTCTACATATTAAATGGTTCAGATTAATAAAACGAGACCTGTGATGGGTTCTTACAGACCGAACAGTACCGTCTAGTCCGATCTGAGACCGAAGGCAAGCTGCTCCGCAATATATGTATATAGAAAAGGTACCACGGAAGGTTGAATTTGAATGCATGGATGGGGCCATGGTCCCTACCTCAGTAAATTATGACTTCGTTTGGGACGTGGGTTAGTTTTTTAACTTTTAATTGTTTTGGTTATTTTAGTCAGAACTAAAAAACTTAGTTTGAGAAGGGTTTTTTAACTTTTTTGACTTTTTTTTTTTATGAAAGAAGAGTGTAATGATTATGGATTGGATGTGATGTTTTGTTTATTGTGGTTAAAATAACTTATTTTGTCTTTTGTGACTAAAATAGCTAAAAAAACCTATAAATTATCTTTCCAAACGGAGCTTAAGTCAACAATAAACTGATAAATTAATTAATTAGTCTCAACCTTTTTTGACCTTTTTGATTTGCTCATAAATAATCTCACAGGCCAGCCCAATGTTGTAATATAATGTATAAAATCTCATATAGGTAAACTATTCACACTACTAGACAGATATACAGTCTGCATCGATCGATCATGCAATAACAACATTCACACTGTTAAAAACCCCCCCCCCCCATACTCTGTCACCCAAAAAAAAAAAAAATTTCTAGAATGTACTCATTCATAATAACTACTCATTCACAATACAATAATGATTTATTCTTCTAATTTTGAAATTCTAATTGAATTCTAATGATGTAAAAAAAAAAAAAAAGGACCAAAACATTAAATCAATGGATGGATCCCAATCCCTAGAGCTCCTTTAGAACTCATATTTTTGAATTTCCAAACATTTTTCTTCACCATATTATCCACACTAAATGGATATGTTATGAAAATCAATAATTTTGTAAGGATTTTAGTGTACATAATTAAAAAATTAAGTTGATTTAATAATCATGATATTTTTATTTTCTTGTTTTTGTTTCTACAAAAATAGATACTTTATTTTTAAAAAAATTCTCGTTATTCATTTTTTTTAAAAACAAATGTCATAAAATAAAAATGTCATAATTATTGAAATGATTTAATTTTCTCATAGTCTATAAATACTGAGGGTTACGAAATAAACGATTCAAAACATTAAAACAAGACCCATAATAAGCTCTATAAGACTCTGACATTCTCTAAATTTGAGAGAATCTAACCATTTTTCTATTCATTAAACGGTGATGGAAATGAGATTAGGGTTTTAGAAGTGAAATTACAATAATAATAACAAAAATGCTATCGGAGGATTTTTTGAGTAAAGTGTTTGATATAATGTGAGTCTAATAAATATAAAATAAATTTAAATCTTAAAAATTATGTTTGATTCATAAATTTTAATGTAAACAAAGAAAGTATAACAAATATGTAAAATATAATTATATTTTATATATATTTATCTATATTTTTAAATATCTACTTAAATCCATGAATCCAAGACTCTCTAAATTATTATTTTTGACTAAAATTTGGGATAAAATTTTGAGGCGGCAAGATTACCGTAATAATAATGACATATTAATGCCACGCGGTTTTGTGAAGCCGAAAGAGAACAAAGCCCTCTCTCACCCACTCTCTCTCCTCTCTAAAGAACGCAGCTGACTTTTGCAAGCCAATGAGTAAATGCTCGTTGCTGTCCGCTTTTGACGAGTTAGTGACTTTCTAGAGTGTTTTTTTTTAAAATTTCTTATATTGTGTGGTTAAAATTTACTGGTAAGTTATATCAATTTTTTTGATGTGATTTACTAGTAAATCTCAACCACATAATATAGTACTCTAGAAAACTTTAAAGAAATTTTTTTCTAGAGGATCCTTAGTGCACTCTAAGGTCATGTTTGATTCACAAGATTAATAGTGAAGTATTAATAATCCTATTAAATTAGTGTGGTATTCATTATCCAATTGGATTAATATCCATTGGATTAATAATCCCACCCCTACCCCATTACTAATAATCCTACAAATTTGTTGGATTAATTATCCATTGGATTAATAATCCTAAATCAAAATATTAACACAAATATAGGATAATTGGGCCCACGGATTAATAATCTCAATCCCATGCTCTAATCCACCCAATCAAACATGCTCTAAAAGCACAGCATGACTGTAGTGGCTTCATTGAAGATGTATTATGACTTATTTTTATAATTTAAATCGTTTATTTTGTTAAATTTGTTAAGTATTTTATGTTATTAAAAATTATATTAATTAGATATCAATAATTATATGATCGAATTATATATTATTTATATTATTTTTTAAAAGAAAAATTTATTATTTATTTTTTTAATTATTAATTATATAATTTTTAATATCCAATTAATATGATTTTTAATAAGACTAAAACACTTAACAAATCTTATAAAATAAACAATTTAAATTATAAAAATAAAATTATAATCCACCTCAAATAGAAACACAGCAGCGACTCCTTTTCCCTTTTGACCCTTTTTGGGGATGCCTTTCTATTTGGTCAGCGTTAACATCACCACGGTCTCTCTCTCTCTCTCTATCTATCTCTATATATACATAGACAGGGGTACCATTCTTTGGACGCCTGTCTCACCATTTCTTCCAAACAAGAAAATAAGAAAATCTTGCAAAGAAAAGAGAGATAAAACAAGGGGTCTCTTCGTTGATAAACCAAAAGATTTGAGTGTGAAACAGTTGAAGATAGAGAGTGAGAGAGAGATTGAAAGTATAAGATGGGTAGACCACCTTGCTGTGATAAAACTGGTGTGAAGAAAGGGCCATGGACGCCAGAAGAGGACATCTTCTTGGTGTCTTACATCCAAGAAAATGGACCTGGGAATTGGAGAGCTGTTCCCACTAATACTGGTATATTTTCTTTTCTTTTACCTTTCTTGATGTTTTCACTGTTGTTGTTTGCTTTTTGGGGTTGGTTCGATCATTGATGAGGTCTATTTAATATCTTATCCTGCTCAAGCACTATTTTCTTGAATGGGGCTATGCTATAGTAGTACTAGTAGTACTATTAAGTATCAAATTTACTTTTTGGGTTTGATTCGTTTGTATATTTACAGTATTGTATTCTTTTTTCATATGGGTTTTTTCACAGGTTTGCTAAGATGCAGCAAGAGTTGCAGACTCAGGTGGACTAATTATCTCAGGCCGGGGATCAAACGGGGCAACTTCACTGATCATGAAGAGAAAATGATAATTCACCTCCAAGCTCTTCTGGGCAACAGGTGAACCCATACCCCGCTCTCTCTCTCTCTCTCTCTCTCTCTCTCTCTCCTATCCGTTCATATTTATTCGGTGTTTAGTTCTTGTGTTTATAGTATAATAACTTATTCTAGTTAGAAGGTTTAAATCGGCCAATACATATTGTAATTGTAGTCTTTTCATATTGTTGCTTACATGTATATATTGAGTAATATTTTTGATAATACTATACGTTTTTGGATATTATTATTTAAAACCATGATTTGATCATTTTTTTTTTCCAAATCCCAATCGGAAGATTATATCCTATTTAGTTCAGTTTTCAAAATTTGTAAAAAAAATTTTCAAATAGTAAAATTAGTTTTAAAAAAAAACACCCAAACATATTTTCAAAATTTTTAACATTATTGTTTCCCCGAAAATATATATATATATATATATATATGAAAATAATGGTTGTTTTTAATAATTATTTCTTATAAAACTATTTTTTTTTTCCTTTTTTTTTTTTTTTGAAAAAAAAAAACTCAGAACAAGCAATGATACAAAAGACAAGTTTTAGTTTGTTACAATTGTTTTGTTTTTTTTATCATTTCTGTTGTTGATGGAAGTGAGATTTTGATTGTGCCTTTAATGTAATATATTCAAAGTTTGTCTTGGTTCAGGTGGGCTGCAATAGCTTCCTATCTTCCCCAGAGAACTGACAATGATATAAAGAATTACTGGAACACCCATTTGAAGAAGAAGCTCAAAAAACTTAATGGCCATGAACATGGCCATAGCCAAGATGGTTTCTCAGCTTCACAATCATCATCAGTCTCCAAGGGTCAGTGGGAGAGGAGGCTCCAAACAGACATACACATGGCTAAGAAAGCTTTGTGTGATGCTTTGTCTATTGACAAATCAACCAATTTAAATGACTTAAAACCATACCCTAATGGCTACTCTCACCCTCGTAGTACAAGCCCCCCGGCCGCCCAATCATCATCCACCACGTATGCGTCGAGTACTGAAAACATAGCTAGGTTGCTCCAAAATTGGATGAAGGGTTCACCTAAATCATCTCAAACAAGCTCAGAAACCACAACTCAAAACTCTAACAACCCTAGTGAGGGAACATTGAGTGCCACTACACCGGAGGGCTTCGACTCGCTTTTCAGCTTCCATTCTTCCAATTCTGATGCCTCTCAGTCCGTGACGGTGGACGAGACAGCTACAAATTTCACCCATGAAACTTGCCTATTTCAAGATGAGAGTAAGCCAAGTTTGGAGAATCAAGTTCCTTTGTCATTGCTAGAGAAATGGTTGTTTGATGATGGTGCTGCTGCACAAGGACATGGCGACCTATTGGACATGTCCTTGGGGGAAAATGATGAGTTCTTTTAGGGTTTAATTGGGGTTTTAAAAACTTTGGGGTTTCTTTGTTTTTTTTTGGTCTTATTTGGAGTTTTAGGCTTTGAATGGAGCGATGTTAGGGTGATTATTTAAGTATCAATTTATTTATTATTTGATGCGGCGTTTTATACCGTACTAAATCATCTTGTTATTTCAATTTCTCGTTTATTTTACATGTAAAAGGCCACATCAAATGATATGTAAATGTTATCGTCCTAACATTACTTTTTTATTGTTTGCTTCTTCTAATTTTGAGCCGAAAAGTGTATATTACAAGTATATCTATATATGTACCTGGGAGGAATAAATCTCAGCCTCATTTGACAATATCATTTTTTCACTTAAAAGTCAAAAAATTATTAAAAAAATTAAAAAATTAACAATTGATATTAAAAAGTCAAAGATTTATTGTTATTTTTATTTTTTGCACATCTTTTCATAAAAAATTAAAAAATTATTTCAAACATATTAATATTTTTTGCATCGTATTTTAGTCAAAAAGTTACTTAAAAATTCTATTTGGTTCACTAAAATGAGAATGAATTAAACAAAATAGTTATTTCTTATGTTTTTTTATTAAATAATTATTCTTTTAAAATGATGAATTATAATTTTATTTGTAATATATTTTTTTAATCAATTAAATATAAGAATAAATATTCTAATAAAATAAACATTTCTCAAATTACCTTAAAGTTTAATTTTGCCTTTCTAAAATCCAAAATTCAAACTCCGCAGTCAAGCTATGATGGGTTGTTCAAAGATTTCATGATTTCATGCTTCCACTTATTCCTAAGAGTTTGTTTGGGATTACTTAAAAATAAGTGTATTTTTTGTCTTTTTATGAAAAGATGTGCAGAAAAGTAGAGAGGTGATGTGATGAAAAAAAGAGAAAAAGATAAAAAGATTGATTATTTTGTGTATGTCAAAGTTAGCCTTAATGTATCTATTTCTTGCTAAAACTTGAAATTAAGCACACTTCACTTGTCAAAATAACCATAAATCTAGTCATTTCTTTAACTTATTTTGTTGGCATGCAATTCGTTATTCGAAATTTTCCTGTTTCGTCATATCAAAGTACTCACAATTGTCAAGTTATATTTTGAAATTTTTATTTCTTGAGATTATCATTCTATTCAATAATTATAAATAGTGTAGTACTATTTAAATCAAAAAATTAGATCCATTTCTAGACTTAATAAAAATATTGTAATCTATTAGAATATTTAAGATAATTCTTTATCTTATATTTTCTCTAATTGTTAGTCAATTATGTCTTTCAGGTATAATTGAGTTTAAAAAATAAATTTGTATAACATTTTTCTTATGAATATTGTAAGACGAGAGATTTAAAATTGAGGATAGAAAATGCTTGATTGAATCTCAAGAGATTGGCTTGATGGTCAAGACACGTGATTTGAAAGATGTTCTCTCTAAAGTCTTAGGTTTTTTATTTTTTTCAGAAGGTTGAGGTAATATATTCAGCAAAAGAGGCATCAGCCGAAATCAAAAGGGCCAAGTTTGGTACAACATCCTTCATCCAAATCGTTGGGCCAGCACAATCAAAAACTAATCTACTTACGCAATTGGCAACAGAATTACCTTCTCTAAAAACATGACTCACAGTGGTAGATCGAAATCCTTGCAACAAGTCATGGACACTTTGAGATAAGTGGCCAAAACAAGAGAGTAATGATCGTTTTAATAACAGTGGCCGAATCACCCTCCAAATGTATGTCCTGTAACCCTAGCTCCGTAGCAAATTGGACTGCTTGAAAAGCAGCCATGGCTTCCACGTAGTCCACATCGTCCCAAAATAGAAGGCTGTTGGACAAAGCTGCTATGACATGGCCTTCTAAGGTCTCAGTTTGAGACCAATTTATATGGGTTTTTTCCTAACTTTAATTAAGACCTATAACATGGACGGTGATACCTTGATTAATCAATTCAGTAAGCCGGATGTCAAGTTATAAAAAAAAAATTACTTGATCAATTTGGGCATGGTGTATATATGGATTTGGGAGCCGCCACTGCTATGCAGTTAAATGAGCCTATTTTGGGCCCCATTTTAATGATTTGAATTATTCATATTTTAGAATATATCGAATAAAACATACTTATAAAAAATCAAGTTAATTGGATATTGCTAATCCATTTATCTACTCACATTTGTATCTATAAAAATAAATGACAATTATGATTTAAAGTATTAAAATGAATATAAATGTGAGTAAATGAAATGGTTAACAATATTTGATTAACTTGATTTTTTTACATATATGTTCACTCAATGTACTCTACAATATAAACGGTTTGTATCATTAAAATGAATCTCTAAATAAATCTATTTTTAATTACACAACAATAAGGGTGATGGTTTTAGTGTTTTTGATATGCGAAGTGTTTAATTGTGTCGTGGTTTTTGAAAACAGAGGATAGATGGGTGGGTTGATGCTGGGCTGTTTTGTTTTTGCCAATTGTTACTTATCTTGGCTTCGGCTTGTTCCTTGTCAATTTTGGATGGCGTGCTAGCAATTGATTGAACGGATATATTGGTACTAATTTAGTTAGAATTTGTATGTCTTGTTATGATATTTTTTGTACTTATCATTTTTTCTTTCTTGATATAATAAATTTTTTATTCATCAATAAAGATTTTTTACCGATTAAATAAGAATACCACACTCATCCCAAATCCGTTTATGTATGGATGAGCATATTAGAATGAATAATTACGAAATCGGTGGTATGAGTTTATTAAATAGAGGTGATAAATGACCAAGGTTTGACGTTTCCCATGATAATCCTTGGTCTTGTCGGCAAGAAGAGGAGTCGGTTCAAGTATTGATTGCTTACTAGTGTGTTATTTAGAAAAATCTCGGTACCGAGGCATTGAATGAGACACTCTAAATAAATTGGCGGGCGGATTACATTAATAGTTTGTGTAGTTTGAGATCAGTGTTGTTTTAGTTCTTGGCCTTTTAATTGTAATGTATAATTTGTGTAGTTTGATATTAGTGTTATTTTAGTTCTTAATTTTTAATTATAATATATTTGATCTTAAATTTTAAATTTCGTTTAAAATAAGGATAATTAAAATATCTTTGTTCTATTTTAAGGGGAAATTATCAATTTGACAAAAATAAATGTCAAAAATTTATTTTTAAAAATTATTTCTACTTGTCAAAGATAAAATTATATAACAATGATAAATCTTTTATATTATTATTATTATTATTATTATTTGTCAAATTAATTTTTAATATGTGTTTGGATGATGATCATGTAATAAAATGAGTAACTGTTTTTGTTGATATTTTTAAATGGTTATCATGTGATTATACTTGTTGTTAACAGATATTTTTAGACGATTATCATGTAATGGATGATTTATTAGACTTTTAATTTGTAATCGTTATATTTAATATATGAAATATTTTTAGTTTTGAATTTTTTGATTTAATGGATTAGTTTAATAACGACATCAAAGTTTTCATTATGTTTGACTTTTGAAAAAATAGAAACTAATTTAACGAAAATAAGTCTAAAAAAATTGTTTTTATCCTCCCAGAAGATAAAAATAAGTTTTCGTTATGATATGTTTTTAATTTTTTTTACCAATTTAATTTTTAGTTTCTTAGAAAAAAAATTTGAAAGTAGATTTTGACAAACCAAACCAAACAGAACTTTATAACTAGGAAAGTTTCAACATTATTCATTAAAAAAAGGCTATTGCATTCACATAACATACAAGTTAACGAATATAAAATAAATTGTATGACGACTTTGCCCTTAAAATAGACTGTTTGCAAGGGAAATATTTTTAATTGTCCTTATTTGGAATAAGATTTAAAATTCGAGATCAAATATATCACAATTAAAAAGTTAAGAACTAAAGTGGTACAAGTTCCAAACTACAGAGACTGTTAATATAATTTGCCTTAAATTATTTATTAATTTACTGATTTATTTCTATCTCGTTACTTTTTTATTTTACCTGTTTTTTGCGTAATAAGTAAAAAAATAAAAAAATAAGTCATACTAAACAATTCTATTGGTTCCAATAAAATAAAAGAAAAAAAATCTATTCATGTACAACATTAGGAACATTAGGAAAAATTCTATTCACTTTTTAGGAACACAATATAAAATGTCTGGTACTTAGTGATAAATTACTATCCTGTTGAGGATCAAAACATTAAATTTTTGTTATATAAAATTATTTTGTTCTTAAAAGTATATTTATTATTGACAATTTCAAAAATTTGCACTACAAATTTTTTTTTATTTTTTATTTTTTTGATGACCTTTTAGTGACGACAAGAATTTGTCTCCTAATATATTTTTTATAATAAAATTTTCATTTTTGCAATTAAAATTTTTACTCCCTAAAACTTTTAGGGGTATTTTTTTTAAGGTCCCTGATATTATGATTTCATAGTATAAAGGACATCAAATATTTTCATGATGTCTAAGGTCCTTAACATCAATCCAGAGAAAATTGGTCCAGAGAAAATTGGTCCAGTCCCAGAGAAATTCTCTCCAGAGAAAATTGAACTTCTCTCCAGAGAAATTCTCTGGATTCAAACCAGAGAAATTCTCTCACTGCACAAATTTCTCTGGCTCTTTTCTAATTTTTACATGCCATTTACACTTCACAATTAGTGATTAGTATTTCTGATCCACAGCTAATTAGTATAACAATTCAAGAACATGTATAACCACTTAGAATAGTAAATTAGTATAACAATTCAAGAACATGTATAACCACTTAGAATAGTAAATTAGTATAACAATTCAAGAACATGTATAACCACTTAGAATAGTAAATTAGTATAACAATTCAAGAACATGTATAACCACTTAGAATAGTAAATTAGTATAACAATTCAAGAACATGTATAACCACTTAGAATAGTAAATTAGTATAACAATTCAAGAACATGTATAACCACTTAGAATAGTAAATTAGTATAACAATTCAAGAACATGTATAACCACTTAGAATAGTAAATTAGTATAACAATTCAAGAACATGTATAACCACTTAGAATAGTAAATTAGTATAACAATTCAAGAACATGTATAACCACTTAGAATAGTAAATTAGTATAACAATTCAAGAACATGTATAACCACTTAGAATAGTAAATTAGTATAACAATTCAAGAACATGTATAACCACTTAGAATAGTAAATTAGTATAACAATTCAAGAACATGTATAACCACTTAGAATAGTAAATTAGTATAACAATTCAAGAACATGTATAACCACTTAGAATAGTAAATTAGTATAACAATTCAAGAACATGTATAACCACTTAGAATAGTAAATTAGTATAACAATTCAAGAACATGTATAACCACTTAGAATAGTAAATTAGTATAACAATTCAAGAACATGTATAACCACTTAGAATAGTAAATTAGTATAACAATTCAAGAACATGTATAACCACTTAGAATAGTAAATTAGTATAACAATTCAAGAACATGTATAACCACTTAGAATAGTAAATTAGTATAACAATTCAAGAACATGTATAACCACTTAGAATAGTAAATTAGTATAACAATTCAAGAACATGTATAACCACTTAGAATAGTAAATTAGTATAACAATTCAAGAACATGTATAACCACTTAGAATAGTAAATTAGTATAACAATTCAAGAACATGTATAACCACTTAGAATAGTAAATTAGTATAACAATTCAAGAACATGTATAACCACTTAGAATAGTAAATTAGTATAACAATTCAAGAACATGTATAACCACTTAGAATAGTAAATTAGTATAACAATTCAAGAACATGTATAACCACTTAGAATAGTAAATTAGTATAACAATTCAAGAACATGTATAACCACTTAGAATAGTAAATTAGTATAACAATTCAAGAACATGTATAACCACTTAGAATAGTAAATTAGTATAACAATTCAAGAACATGTATTTCTTTTCTAATCTACAGGCAGCCTCTGAATCTCCAGAGAAAATTGGTCCAGAGAAAATTGGTCCAGAGAAAATTGGTCCAGAGAAAATTGGTCCAGAGAAAATTGGTCCAGAGAAAATTGGTCCAGAGAAAATTGGTCCAGAGAAAATTGGTCCAGAGAAAATTGGTCCAGAGAAAATTGGTCCAGAGAAATTTCAGTCCCATAGAAATTCTCTCCAGAGAAAATTGAACTTCTCTCCAGAGAAAATTGAACTTCTCTCTAGAGAAATTCTCTGGATTCAAACCAGAGAAATTCTCTCACTGCACAAATTTCTCTGGCTCTTTTCTAATTTTTACATGCCATTTACACTTCACAATTAGTGATTAGTATTTCTGATCCACAGCTAATTAGTATAACAATTCAAGAACATGTATAACCACTTAGAATAGTAAATTAGTATAACAATTCAAGAACATGTATAACCACTTAGAATAGTAAATTAGTATAACAATTCAAGAACATGTATAACCACTTAGAATAGTAAATTAGTATAACAATTCAAGAACATGTATAACCACTTAGAATAGTAAATTAGTATAACAATTCAAGAACATGTATTTCTTTTCTAATCTACAGGCAGCCTCTGAATCTCCAGAGAAAATTGGTCCAGAGAAAATGGCTGAAAGAATGATAGTTAGTGTAGTCTCATCAGGAACCACTTTCGAATAATGCATTTCGCAAAAGAGATCCAAAGCTTCCCTGCAGCGACCTTCTTGAACATAAGATGAAATCATGGAATTCCAAGAAACAACATTTTTCAATGGCATTTGATCAAAAACTTCCCGAGCACAATCAATGAGCCCATGTTTAGCATATGCACTGACCACAGAAGTCCATGAAACCACGTTTTTATCAGGCATTTGGTTAAAAAATGCTTGAGCCGTATGCAAATCCCCACACTTAGCATACATATCAACAAGAGCATTCTGCACATATATATCAGTTTCGGCCCCAGTAATCTCTATATAAAAATGTACATATCTTCCCAAATGTAAATCAAAAGTCTGCGAACCGACAGAAAGGAGGCTAACAAAGGTAAACTCATCAGGCTCCATCTCAAGTTCTAACATTTCACGAAAGAGTAAAAACGCTTCCTTGGAACAACCCATCTTCGAATACCCCCCAATCATCGAGTTCCACGAAACCAAAGTCCTCTCACTAATTTCATCAAACACTTGACGTGCACAGCAGATCAACCCACAAACAACATACACATGAATAAGCGCATTTTGTACACAAACTTGGAACCCAATTCCCAATTTAATAGCTTGACCATGAACAACAACACAATCCAAATACGCCAAATTGCACGCACATGCCTTGAGAACAAAAGGGATAGTGAATTCATTCGGAGAAATACCAGAACCAATCATTCTGTGGTAAAGAAAAACAGCCTTTGATGGGTCATCACTGTTAGAATAACCCCTTATCAGACTATTATACATGATTCTAAATCCCAACCTACGGGTCCGAATTACATTTCGTCAGTTGTCACAAGTCCTATTTGTCATGGGGAAGCTGCCCGTGAGAGCCACATGGCGGTTCGGGGGCTATTTTGAATTTTCGGCCCTGAAACGCCCTTTTTAGACTAAGTCTTGGACGTGTTCGGCTATAAATCCCAATCTATGGGTTCGAATTACATTCCTTCAGGTTTGACAAGTCCTATTTGTCATGGGGAAGCTGCTCGTGAGAGTCATATGGTGGTTCGGGGGCTGTTTTCAATTTTCGCCCCGAAATGCTTTTTTCGAGTAAGTTTTGGGCATATTCGGCTCTAACTCCCAACCTACGGGTCCGGATTACATTTTGTCAGTTGTCACAAGTCCTATTTGTCATGGGAAAGCTGCCCGTGAGAGTCACATGATAGTTCGGGGGCTGTTTTGATTTTTCGCCTCCGAAACGCCCTTTTTCGAGTAAGTTTTGGGCGTATTCGGCTCTAACTCCCAACCTACGGGTCCGAATTACATTCCGTTAATTATCATAAGTCCTATTTGTCATGGGGAAGCTGCCCGTGAGAGCCACATGGCGGTTCGGGGGCTATTTTGAATTTTCGGCCCTGAAACGCCCTTCTTAGACTAAGTCTTGGGCGTGTTCGGCTGTAAATCCCAATCTATGGGTTCGAATTACATTCCTTCAGGTTTGACAAGTCTTATTTGTCATGGGGAAGCTGCTCGTGAGAGTCACACGGTGGTTCGGGGGCTGTTTTCAATTTTCGCCCCGAAACGCTTTTTCAAATAAGTTTTGGGCGTATTCGGCTCTAAATCCTCACCTACGGGTCGGAATTACATTCTGTCAGTTGTCACAAGTCCTATTTTTCATGGGAAAGCTGCCCGTGAGAGCCACACGGTGGTTCGGGGGCTATTTTGAATTTTCGGCCCTGAAACGCCCTTCTTAGACTAAGTTTTGGGCGTGTTCAGCTGTAAATCCCAATCTATGGGTTCGAATTACATTCCTTCAGGTTTGACAAGTCTTATTTGTCATGGGGAAGCTGCTCGTGAGAGTCACACGGTGGTTCGGGGGCTGTTTTCAATTTTCGCCCCGAAACGCTTTTTCAAATAAGTTTTGGGCGTATTCGGCTCAAACTCCCAACTTACGGATCCGAATTACATTCCGTTAGTTGTCACAAGTCCTATTTGTCATGGGAAAGCTTGGAAAGGACTTTTTGGCTTTTTGATTTTTTTGACTTTTTTTTTAGAAAAGAATGTAATGTTTATGTGTTGGATGTAGATTGTTTGGTTATATATTTTGAAAATAGTTTTAGAATTTGAGAATTTTGGATAATTTGATATTTTGTTATAATTAAGCAGATGTGTATGAAAAAAAAAATGATTAAAAATGAGAGACGAGAGAGAAAAAATGATTGAAAATACGTCAAATTTATAACTCATTATTCTTCCATGGAATTGCATCCAAATAAACCAAAGCACACACTTTGTTAAATTTGATTCCACTGCTCAGTAGCTAGAAAACTTCAGAGCATGTATATAGAATGCGCAAGAATTGATACACAAACAAACACTACATGCTAAACTCATTCTTTGGTCTTGATCTAATAAAGTGAATATAATGAAACCAAGTTTCAGTTACCTTCAGAGCATACACTCACAAGGTCATACACTAGAAAACAGCCATAAGAGAGCACAAAATCTCTCAAGGATAATTTCCCATAACTTTCCTAACCATCTAAACTTGAAATATGATTAGTAAAACGTACTGGCTTGTCCACTGATTAAACACGTTGAAGATCAAGGAAAACTAGAAAAAACAACTGACAGTAAACAACATGAAAAAAGGCATTACCTCCACGAAGGCCATTAAAAAATGAGTAGATCCCACCAGGTTTCTTCAATGAAGGAAGATGTTGGTGGAACTCTCTCAAATGTTCATAATACTCCCCTTAAGTGTCAAAGAATACACCTGGAAAAAATAGAATCAACGATTACAAGGGGACAGTTATGCATGCTATATGCCATATAACATAGTCAAATTAATTAGCTATTATTGTGTATTTAAAAAAAAAAGTAAAAAGAAAAGCTTCTACAAGTATTTGCACATTTAAGCAGGGCAGATTGTAGACAATACAACATGCACTTAATCCATCAATGATAGAAATCAGCTACAACTGCACATTTCCTTGGTCATTTCACTTCCTTCTTTATAGTGGTCTTAGATGCAAAGAAAAAAAATATTTAGTAAAATTAGGAAATAATATCTAATTTAATGAGGTTTGCATGTCTATGGGTTGGTATATTAAATGGGATGGAAAGGGGAGTGAGTAGTAACCACTAGTGAGAAAAGAAAGTAGATTCCAGAAGTTCATAATAAAGTACCACCAAAGTCCATTTTTGTTGCAATGGAAATTCAATATACTCCTAGCCACTTTTTGTGCAGTATATGCAAGAGTGGTAGAAGTTTCCGTCTTGATTCGATTTTCTTCAATACCAGATGTTGTCCCATCTATATTAAGTGATTGTGCATACAGAAATTTTCCTTTTTTGGTTTAAAAGAAATAGTTAAAGACTCAACTAATCATTCCACTTAGGGTCAGAGCAGAACAGATCAGTTGTGGCCTTGGTAGCAGGTCAGCAAGACAGAACAGATCAGTTGTGGCCTTGATCAGCAAGACAGAGCAGATCATCAATACACGGCCATACCTGCTTCATCTGGGTCTCAGCCAGAAGCAGTACTAACAGATTCTACCCATACTGGCAGTCTAGCAGCAAGCTCACCTTAGCAAAACTGGCAGCCCAACCCAGAAACTTGCAGCCAGATTTTACCCAGCAGTCCACCAGCCCTTCACCATACCAACAGATTCAATCACACACAGGACTTGACTAACAGCCTAGCAGCAAGCTCACCTTAGCATATTAGCATCCCAATCCCAGAACTTGCAGCTAGATTCTGCCTAGCAGACCACCAGCCATCCACCATCAGACTAGCAGATTAGCCTAAGCATAACTGGAAGCAGCATAACAGACATCAAAGCACCAATTGCACCCACAATCTTAACACAACCATACCAGCAGAACCCCAGCAGATTGGATCAGATCACACACAGGACTGGACTTGCAGCCTAACAGCAAGCTCACCTTATCATACCAGCATCCCAGCCCAGAACTTGCAGCCAGATTCTACCTTCGCATTGTAACAGATCATCTACCCAGCAGATCACCAGCCATCCACCATCAGACCAACAAATTCAAACACACAAAACACCCCACAGGCAGAACCACAGCAGATTGGATCAGATGACACACAGGACTTGACTTGTAGCCTACCAGCAAGCTCACCTTAGCAAACCACCAGCCCAGCCCAGTGGTTGCAGCCAGATTCTATCTTACACAGCCCACTTGCAGCCAGTACTTGACACAGATCACCATTGCAGTAGCACAACCAGACCAGCAGTAGCTAAACCAGACCAGCAGTAGCACAACATTGCAGTCTAACAGCAGAGCACAGATAGTAGCAGATTCAGCCTCCATTCCTGATGCAGTACTGCATTTGTTGCATATTATACACAAGATCAGTAACAGAGAACACCACAGCCATTTCAGAAGACTTTATCCACATTGCTACTCTCACCTTCACAATATCACACAACTCGTCCGAATTCGGTTGGATGCCTTGGAACACACTCTCATTTCTGTGTTTCCAGATGGACCAGAGAATGGCTAGAGGAATAACTGTCCAAATTTTCTTTTCCAACGTTTTCATTCTACACCCAGACCACCACTGTAGCACTCCATTGACGGAACCAGGAATAACCCACTGAAGACCCCACCATTTTACAATGATAGACCAAAGCCTCCAAACAAAAGGGCAAGAAAGAAGAATATGTTCCACTGTTTTAACCTCACTTTGACAAAACACACATACAATATTCGCATTCCCGTCAAGGATCCCGGGTCAGTTGTCACAAGAACAATTCAAACTCGAAACATTCATAAACTTTATTAACCAATCATCAAATTTTCAATTTCAGTAGAAGAAAGTCATTGGTTCTTATTCTCATGGTATCAATGAATTCTAAGTAGTCATTACTCTTGGACTATGATAGAGTAATCTTAATTATTGATATGACCACGGTAATGTTCTTAAGCATTCTTAGAACTTGGAAAACTTTGTTCTCCCACTTCAAAATAGATAGGTCATGGCAAACGGTAAATGGAAGTGTTGTACGATGGAGGATTGCATGTTCAGGTGGTCTACAGCGGAGGTCTTCGTACAAATGAAGGTCAACTTGACCCATCCCGCATTTTCCGTCACCAAAGTATAACATGTGTTACAATTTGGACCAAACTGAAAAGAATATAATAGTTTGGTCATTTCAAAAACAAATGTAGGTCAACTTTACCCATGCCGCATTTTCCGTCACAAAAGTATAACATCTCTTACAATTTGGACCAAAGTGAAAAGAATATAATAGCTTGAAGTCCAAAGTGAGAAAGTATTCATAGGTAAGCAAGGTGACGGTGTAATTTACCATTTTACAAAATGTAAACCATGCCTTAATCTGTGAAGAAATTGTTGATGTAATTAATATCATAATAATTAATATTTATTATTACAAAATATGCTAACATAATTTAATATGAAGATTTAATAATTTCAATAAAGGTAAAAAAAAAATATCATTTTGCCTCTCATACTATCACTGAAAATTAAGTTAACCTGTATTATTTTAGTAAAATTAATTGTACACTTAGTTTATTTAATTTTGGATTAATTTTACCCCCGCTGTTAGGTTATGTTTGTAATCCAATGAAAGTTACTGACATGGAAATAACATTTGAAATTTCATTTTACCGTCCAAACTATCTATAAAATATCAATTAGACCTCCAAACTTCATTTTATTCAGAGAACTAATTGATATTTTGGGTGCCACATGAGCAACTTTTATTTTAGGGGTATTTTTTTTAAGGTCCCTGATATTATGATTTTATAGT